TGCCATTTTTTCCTTTTTGCCTTCAGTTCCATTTTGAAGGATAAGTTCATTTTATGAAAAAATAAATAAATAAATGCACATTTCTTTACAGGTAAAAAAATGTACATTTATCATTTTTTTTTATCTAATGAGCCTGCAGAGTATCTCACCCACGATCAGCAGATCATGGGTGCATTGCAAGGTCCCTGCAGACTCATAGGATAGCTGTCTACCCGTATCTTCCATATGGCCAGGAATTTACTTGTGAGCAGGAAGATCAATGAACTATGAGAGTGCTCATCAGTGCCCTTGCAGTTTTTTGAGAACTACAAACCATCAGTTGCAATGGCTGATGGTACTTGTAGTCTAGGAGCGGACTGACCATTTGGAAACTCGGGCACTGCCCGAGGGCCCGGGGTCAGTAGGGGGCCCCATGAGATGCCCCTGGTACCTTTTTCATAGGCTTTTTTGAGTTTGGGCAAGGCACACAGGGGCCCCATTAGTTGTCAGTCCGCCCCTGTTGTAGTCTATTAATTCACAGAAAATTGTGAATGAACCACGTGGTCATGTGGGTGGAGCCCTGCATGGCTGCACTTTTTACAAATTGTGACAGAGGGTGTGGGGAGAAGATCCCTGGCCCGCTGTGAAAGAGTAGGGAGCTCTGTGGTGGATTCATAGGAGCAGGGGCATACTTACCACAAGGCAAACAAGGCAGTTGCCTAGGGCGGCATTTTTAAAGGGGACAGCACTGCCCCCTTGAAGATGGGACACTTGCGGCATGGGGACCAGGTGGGAACCGAGAGAAGCTGTGGACTGCTTGATGGTGTATGCAGAGCCTGACTCTCGTTCCCATGGATGTCTGGAGTTGTAAAGGTGAGTGAATTTCTCTATGGGTGGGGGGGGCAGGGGTGTTGTTGGTCAATGTCAGGCTCTCTCCATGGGGGGGGGGGGGGTCGATTTTTGTGTTGCCTAGGAAAGCACAAAACCTGCAGTGAAGGCAATAAATATTTGATCCCCTGCTGTTTTTGATTGCTTGCCAACTCACAAAGAAATGATCAGTCTAAAAATCGAATGGTAGGTGTATTGTAACACTGAGAGACAGAAGAGCAACAAAAATTCAAAAACTCAATGCATAATTTGTTAGACATGCATTTATTTTGAATTTTGTGTTCCTATTCTGTCTCTCAGTGTTACAATACACCTACCATTCAATTTTTAGTCTGATCATTTCTTTGTGAGTGGGCAAAACATTCAACATCAGCAGGGGATCAAATACTTATTTCCTTCACTGTAAATACACCACAGCATAGGAGCAGGGGCGTCCCTAGGGTTGGTGTCACCCGGTGCGATAACACTTGGTGACACCCCCTCCGACGATCCCCGCAGAATGGATCGGATCTGCGGATTGAGCATAATGGATCAGACTCTGATCCATTATGCTCCCCAATCCACAGATCCGATCCATCCTGCGGGGATCGTCGGTCTGCAACCTATACGGGGTGACATCGGACCCGCTCCACTAAAAGGTAAGTTGTAAAGAAAGCTGATGATCCCTGCAGGATGGATTGGATCCATCCTGTGGGGATTGTCAGGTTCAGGGGCAGACTGACAACTCATGGGACCCCCGGGCAATAGGGGATCATGGGGCCCCTGTGTCCTTACTCAAACTCAAAAAATCCTATGAAAAAAGTACCAGGGGCATCTCATGGGGCCCCCTACTGACCCCGGACCCTTGGGCAGTGCCCGAGTTTCCAAATGGTCAGTCTGCCCCTGGTCGGCTTGTTTTACAACTTACCTTTTCATGGAGCAGTTCCGGTGCAGGGGCGGACTGACCATTTGGAAACTCTGGCACTGTCCGAGGGCCCGGGGTCAGTAGGGGGCCCCATAAGATGCCCTTGGTACCTTTTTCATAGGCTTTTTTGAGTTTGGGCAAGGACACAGGGGCCCCATGATCCCCTATTGCCCGGGGGGCCCCATGAGTTGTCAGTCCGCCCCTGTTCCGGTGTCACCCTATGCGGTAGGTGTCACCCAGTGCGGGTCACACCCCCCGCACCTGCCTCGGGATGCCACTGCATAGGAGCATATTACATGTTACACCCTACATATGAGTTTAACATGTAAAATGCTCATAAAGGTGAACATATCCTTTAAATATACTTTCATCGCAGCTACGGCTTACTAAATATTCAAATACTTTACATAAATTGATTTAAAAAATACCAATGAAGCTTGATTCTTGATGCACCCACTATGCAAATACATTGCTTGAGCAGATGTAGTGACAAAAACTGGCAGTAAAAACCATCAGAAAAGATGTCTATTATGACAGCACAATTTGGAGAATGACAGCGTTCTAAAAATTTAGGAACAAGTTCAGCAAACAAGCTGCACCTTTCTACCAGTGCTGACCACTTAAAAGCAAAAACAGAAAACCTCATAACACAAACCGTAAAGTCCGCTTTGCCCGATCTAAGGCGGCACTGTGAATTTTCCATATTAGAGGAGCTGTTTGTTTAAATGTCCTCATGTTCAGCATGACATGTACAATGCCAAGCAGAGTGCCAGTGAAGCTTCAGACATGATCCTTGTGCTTGTGCAGCAAGCAATGCATGACTTCATGGGTATTAGGAAATAGGAAATCTTTCTTCCAACGGTGAATGTTGGGCAGGTCTGCTCTAAAAACGGCCTAGAAAAATATCAGAGCTTAATGGAAATCTGGCAAGCTACCCGGCCGCAAACCCGTAAAACATTACAGAACAGCTGATATAGAGCAAAGGTAATGTGTTCTATTTCAGCAGCTAGTCAGAAAATAAAAAATGAGTTGGAGCAGAAAAAATAAAATGTACGCGATGTACGTAAGATGTATGGTGTCTGGCCTTTGCATCTTTATATGACCGTGGATTTTCTAGAGTGCCAATAAGTGTCAGTTCACACGGATACAAATTCTATGTGATTCAGATGCGATTAGAAAAGTATAGATTTGCCTGTAATCTACAAAAGCATTATTTCCAATGCAGGCAGTCCCCTCAGAAATTGCATTCAATTTGCACCTGTCACAGCAGAAATCGCTGTGAAACCGCATCAGATTCGCACTGCATCAGCAGCGGCACTTAAAGGGGCATTTCCTGGTGCTTTTTAATTTAAAGTGTTTCTAAACCCCGGACCCTGCATTCACTATATCTGGTCTCCCCGGACCCTGCATTCCCTATATCTGGTCTCCCCGGACCCTGCATTCCCTATATCTGGTCTCCCCGGACCCTGCATTCACTATATCTGGTCTCCCAGAACCCTGCATTCCCTATATCTGGTCTCCCAGGACCCTACATTCACTATATCTGGTCTCCCCGGACCCTGCATCCACTACAGTTGTGACCAAAATTATTTCAACCCCCACTGAAATTGAGTGTTTTGGCCAGTTTGACATTGCTTTTGATCATTCAGTCATCTTGCTTACATTTACATTAAAGGGCACTTGTAGGTCAGACAAATATAACATAACAGTTATAATGAAATAACCACAAATGTCTTTTCTGTGCTATTATCAGTTTTATTCAACCCCCAAGTGACATTCAATCTAGTACTTAGTACAGCATCCTTTTACAGTTATAACAGCTTTTAAACGTGAAGCATAGCTTGACACAAGTGTCTTGCAGCGATCTACGGGATCTTCGCCCATTCTTCTGGGCAAAGGCCTCCAGTTCAGTCACATTCTTAGGCTTGCGCACTGCAACTGCTTTCTTTAAGTCCCACCAGAGGTTCTCAATCGGATTTAAGTCTGGTGACTGCGATGGCCACTCCAAAATGTTCCAGCCTTTCCTCTGCAACCATGCTCTAGTGGACTTGGAGGTATGCTTGGGATCATTGTCCTGTTGAAAGGTCCAACGTCTCCCAAGCCTCAGGTGTGGACGGACTGCATCACGTTTCCATCCAATATCTCCTGGTACTGAAGAGAATTCATGGTACCTTGCACACGCTGAAGCTTCCCTGTACCTGCAGAAGCAAAACAGCCCCAAAGCATGATTGACCCTCCACCATGCTTCACAGTAGGCAATTTTCATCAAAGGCCTTGTTCTTCCTCCCCAAACATAGCGTTGATCCATGGGCCCAAACAGTTCTAATTTTGTTTCATCAGTCCACAGAACACTATCCCACAACTTTTGTGGTTTGTCCACATGGCTTTTGGCATACTCTTCTATTCTTTGGAGACCAAGGGGGTACGCCTGGGAGTTCTGGCACGGAGGCCTTCATTACGCAGTGTGCGTCTTATTGTCTGGGCTGAAACTTCTGTACCCACATCTGACAAATCTTTTCTCAGTTCCTCAGCAGTCACACGGGGACTTCTCTCCACTCTACGCTTCAGGTAGCGCACAGCAGTCGAAGTCAGCATCTTCTTTCTGCCACGACCAGGTAGCGTTTCAACAGTGCCCTTTGCCTTGAATTTGCGAATGATGCTTCCTAAGGTGTCTCTTGGTATGTTTAACATCTTTGCAATCTTCTTATAGCCATTGCCCTTCCTGTGAAGAGAAATCACCTCTTCTCTTGTCTTCCTGGACCATTCTCTTGCCTTCACCATGTTTGTGTCTCTGAGTATCACAGGAAGCTGCCTAATTGGTGCTTATTATGCTTGATTGCTGTCGGTGACATCCACAGGTGTTTTCAATACCTGATGGAAAGCACCTGTATGAACCTCTGTTCTTCAGAGTGGTAGTCTTTAAGGGGTTGAATAATTGTGGCAATGAAGAAACCACATAAGAACCATTTACTGTATTACATAAACAATTGATGTCATTTTAGTTGCATTTGGGTAGTTACAACGTCCTTGTAGGATTTGATTCTGAATACAATTCCAAATGTACACTATAGTCCCTAAACCCCTTTTACAGCATTGGGGGTTGAATAATTTTGGTCACAACTGTATATCTGGTCTCCCAGGACCCTGCATCCACTATATCTGGTCTACCCGGACCCTGCATTCACTATATCTGGTCTCCCAGGACCCTGCATCCACTATATCTGGTCTCCCGGACCCTGCATTCACTATATCTGGTCTCCCCGGACCCTGCATCCACTATATCTGGTCTTCCCAGACCCTGCATTCACTATATCTGGTCTCCCAGGACCCTGCATCCACTATATCTGGTCTCCCAGGACCCTGCATTCACTATATCTGGTCTCCCCGGACCCTGCATCCACTATATCTGGTCTTCCCAGACCCTGCATCCACTATATCTGGTCTTCCCAGACCCTGCATTCACTATATCTGGTCTCCCTGGACCCTGCATTCACTATATCTGGTCTCCCCGGACCCTGCATCCACTATATCTGGTCTTCCCAGACCCTGCATTCACTATATTCAGTCCCCTAACAGTACACACGAGATGGAAATGTAATTATTGTAGTAAATATAAACTGCTAAATACCTTTTCTCATCAGTAGTATACAGCAGTCTTTTGACTTCTATCAGTGTCCAGCACAGCACATGTTAAAGCTTGTAGGAGGAGTTTTCATTCTGCTCTAGGAAGATGCAGGTCCCCATGACCTCTGTAAGGAAAGTGCTGATTGGCCCTGTGCTGATCACATGCATTCTCCCAAGACAAAAAAACCCCTCTAGCAATATTATTATTATTATACAGGATTTATATAGCGCCAACAGTTTTCTCAGCTCTTTAAAATGTAATGGGAGACAATACAGCAACACTACAGTTCGGTACAAGAGGGTTAGGAGGGCCCTGCTCCTTGGAGCTTACAATCTAACAGGCAATACACATCAAACAGAGCATGTGCAGAGTGACTCCACACAATATGCCTTATCAGCAGATACAAGGGGGACAATGGAAGAAGGGAAGATCGGAGAACTCAGGATCAAGCAGCGTTTTTTACACAATGCAGAGGATTAACCCCTTAGGTTCTACAGTGAGTATAACAAGCATGCTTACTTCATATACAGACTGATGTTACTGTTGTGGGTTTAGTAACACTTTAATTTAACCCCTTTACAACCACCCAACAAATGTGTGGCAGCCAAACGGTGGGCTTTAAAGCAATATTGAACCCCAAACCAAAAATATAATAAATTGCAGCTACCAATCATTAGATGTGGTGGCTCAATTCGTTTTTGTTCATTAATTTTGTTCTTTTTTTTGGCTTTTTTCCCCACTGTATTCACTTGCTGATCTGGCCAGGAACGCACCTCCTGTATTGAAGTGCCCCCCACTCTGGATGAGCACAGGGGACACCTTTGGACAGCAGCATTGTCAATTTGGGGGGAGGGGACTGTTGAATACGTTAGCAGATTTAAATAAACTAACAAATTGAATCCAAACTCCAGCTGACATTTTATAAGCAGTTAGAGCAAACAGTTCTGTTTTACAAAAATAAATAAATAAAAGCTGATCATTTTAAGCACCCGTTCCAGTGTTGAATGGTTTGGCCCATCCATGTAAACTGATACATTCTGCTGGAGAGTGTGTGCTTTTGAAAAACAACAGACTTGCTTGCTGGATTACCAGATGAAAATAGAAGAAAGAAAGCTTACAAAATAAATGAATACAGCCGTCACATCTAAGAACTGGTAAGCTGCAATATAATAATTGTGTGCTTTTGGGTTTAACACTGCTTTAATGCCCACATACTGTTGATATGTGTTGCTGGGGGGTGGATGTTTATGTGCCGAGAGCCCGCTCACTGCGTGCTCCCACTGATTTGTCAAAGACAGCTCTCAGTCCGCACTAAAGATCAGTAAGTAGTGGGAATGGCTTATGACCATGTGACCACTGCGACAAAGGTCACATGACTGCCAATCCTTCCCGGGCATTCCGAACTGTTTAAAGGGGTAGGCGGGCGGGAAGGGGTTAAAGAGATCCTGTCACCAAACCAATAAAGAATATGAAAACCCAACATTGCATATTGCTGATATATGCCTGCTGTACCATGTACTTGTATGAAAAACTATCCTGTTCTCTTTCTTTTGCTTCCTTTGTGAAAAATCCCTGGTGTTCCTGTCAGTACCTCTGCTGTCCTATTAAAAACTGACCACACTAGGCATGAGTCAGTTTTTCTGGCTGTGCTGGGAACTCAGCCTGTTCTCCAATGATTAGACTTGTGCTGACTTTTGCTGATACGCCCCCCTCCCCACTGCACAGCCATTCACTGGGAAGATCAGTTTATGTTGTTTTCTCCTCCCCCAACTCCTTATGCATCTGAGAACAGAGGGAATGTGATTACTTATATAAAAGGATAACAGTGTATTTATAAAAGGGGAAAGGGGTATTTATAATGTTTTTTTTATATCTATACACAAATGCTTTGCTTTTAATTTCAATTTTAAACTGAACGGGTTGTTTTACAAGGTGAGAGTTGACATATGCTTTCATTTCAACAAGCAATTTCTCATTAGATTAAATGTGCTTTAAGATTTTATGCATGTTGTTTACTCATCCAAATCTCTCTTGTTTACACATCCAAAAAGGTGGACTATGCCTTTAAAACTGTGTTGGCATTTATATCCTCACAGGTGTAGGAAACAGAAGATCACCTTTTTAAGTTTTCTTTTATTTATGTTAGTACTGTACAAATATTTCCTGTTTCAATGTGAATAATATTACTACAGCAGATAATTAAAGAATAAATATAAAACAGAATTGGAACTGTCTTCCCATGTAATGTTACAGTCTTGTGTATCATCTGCTTAATGATAAAAGGGGAAATGTTTTATTTTTAGTTCTGCACAGGACACTGACAATTTCACAGCCGTTTCAAGCACTGTTTCCTTGCCCAATCAAGCCTAATATTTCATTTCAGTACCAGGAACACAAGGAGACATCTTGACTTCATCAAGGTCACAGTAAGACAGTTTTCTGTAAGTTCAGGTTTCCAGATTTTAGTTAAATCCTTTCCTGGTTCACTTGTTGGCCCTTTTTTAATGCCCAATACTAGGAAATGAAAGTAATCCTCTAACAAATTCCCTTAAAAATTAGTTCTGGGCACATGATAGGGTATACCACCACTAGGCACACACACAACCCCTGACATCTAAAGTATCAGAGCAAGGCTTTTTTTGAGCTAGAATGTTCTGCAGAACCCTGAATCCAACACCCTGTGCACAGTGCACTCCTGAACACTGCACCCTGTGAGTAGCGCACTTCTGAACACTGCACCCTGTGCGTAGCGCACTCCTGAACACTGCACCCTGTGCGTAGCGCACTCCTGAACACTGCACCCTGTGCGTAGCTCACCCCTGAATCGGGCACCCTATACATAGCACATTCCTGAATCCTGTGCATAGCACACTCCAGAACCCTGCACTCTGGACATAGTGCACTCTTGAACCCTGCATCCTGTGCATAGCTCACCCCTGAACCTTGCACCCTGTGTGTAGCGCACTACTGAACCTGACACCCTATACATAGCACATTCCTGAATCCTGTGCATAGCACACTCCAGAGCCCTGCACTCTGTACATAGTGCACTCCTGAACCCTGCATCCTGTGCGTAGCTCACCCCTGACCCCTGCACCCTGTGTTTAGCACAGTCCTAAATGATGTGTGTAGCACACTCCTGAACCCTGCACTCTATACATAGTGGACTCATGATCCCTGCACCCTGTCTGTAGCACACTCATGAACCTTGCACCCTATGTATAGCACACCCCCCTGCAAAGCTCACCCCTGAACCTGTGTGTAGCACACACTCCTGAACCCTGCACTCTGTACATGCAGTGCACTCTTGAACCCTGCATCCTGTGCATAGCACAGCTCACCCTATGTATAGCACACCCCTGAACCTTGCACCCTGTGTGCACTCTTGAACCCTGCATCCTGTGCACTACTGAACCTGACACCCTATACATAGCACATTCCTGAATCCTGTGCATAGCACACTCCAGAGCCCTGCATCCTGTGCGTAGCTCACCCCTGACCCCTGCACCCTGTGTTTAGCACAGTCCTAAATGATGTGTGTAGCACACTCCTGAACCCTGCACTCTATACATAGTGGACTCATGATCCCTGCACCCTGTCTGTAGCACACTCCTGAACCTTGCACCCTATGTATAGCACACCCCTGAACCCTGTGTGTAGCACACTCCTGAACCCTGCACTCTGTACATTATGTATTCCTGAACCCTATCTGTAGCACACTTATGAACCCTGCATTCTATGCATAATGCATTCCTGAACCCTGTGCATAGCATACTCCTGAACCCTGCACTCTGTCTGTAGTACATTCACAAACCCTACACCCTCTGTGTAGCACATGCCTGAACCCTGCACTCTATGCGTAGCACACCCCTGAACCCTGCACCCTATGCATAGCACACTCCTGAACCCTGCACTTTGTACATAGTGCACTCCTGGACCCAGTACCCTGTGCGTAATGCACCCCTAAAATCTTCACCCTGTGCGCAACGCACCTCTGAACCCTGTGTGTTCCACACTCTTGAACCCTGCACCCTGTGCTAAGAACACTCCTTTTTTATTTATTAATGCATCTTTAATACCTTCCCACTGGATGTGGCCACATTGCTACTCTTGCCTGCAGGACTGCGGACTGACCATTTGGGCTCTCGGGCACTGCCCGAGAGCCCAGGGTCAGTAGGGGGCCCCATGAGATGCCCCTGGTACCTTTCATAGGCTATTTTGGGTGCGGTTTGAATGTCGGCAAGGACACAGGGGCCCCATGATCCCTTATTGCCGGGAGCCCCATGAGTTGTCAGTCCGCCCCTGCCTGCATCTATTCTCTGACACAAAAAACACTGTGTAAAGGTAACTAATACAGTTATTTACAACTTCTAAAACAAATCTAAGTACTCCCCTTGACAATGTCTTCATCTGTTTTTCTCTCCAGAACAGAAGTGCCATCTATGTTATGGTATTATACAGGGTCCACACTTTCTGGACTGAGATGTTGGCTCAGAGATGACACAGCCTTTTAAATCTTGATGCTGATGCACTTTTTGTGTGATATAGATCAGCCCTTGATCCAACCTCATACCACGAGGTATGCAGCCTAATCACTGGGAGGGGGGCAGTTAGACTGAAAAAAAATGTTCCCTCCTGCCTGCAGCAGATGGATGATATTGTCTCGGCATAAGAAAGCCAATGAACTGAAGATCAAGGATCGCTTGTTGCCATTTACTTCTAGGTGGAATGTCAGCCAGCATCAATTTTCCTCTTCCTCTTAGTTCAGGCTGTCATTAACACCCCTGGTGGGCATCATTTTACTGACCTGAGCCCACGGTACTGCTATACTAAACAGTGCTCACACATTATTCTGCGCTGTTCAGTGCTGCAGTGAGAACCACCCAACACCGTCACTAGACAAAAAGAGGAAGGACCCAAGATGTCACTAGACCCTCCAGAAAACACTTAGAATGAAGGCATGTATTTGAGGAACTTTTAAATAATGGAAGTGGAGGGT